AAAGAGTCATCACACATCAATAAAGAATTAATGAACTGAACGCGATCCTGGGATCCTGTGAACAGAAGGGCGGCACAAATACTATCAATCACTTCTGCAACGTGCCCAGGAGCAGGAAACAACATGCGGGTGGGGGGGGCGTGGCTCTACTGCGCAGACCGGAGCATCCTTCAGCCGCCTGGGAAGGAGGCCTTTCTTCCCTTATCGCATTAGGCCGTTCTTCCTGGCCAGACCCCAGAGCTCTGTCCCTGACACCTCCTTATCAATAGAGCGGAGGGAGCCCGGCCTCTGTAGCCTGCCCTGCTCCCCTTGGGGACCTGAGCCTGTTCTCTGACCCCAGCTTAGAGGAACTCGGTGTTGCCAGGCCGGAGAGAGAAACAATGGGCCTTCCGGAACAGGATGACACCCCCTCCCGCCATAATTCTGGAGCAGCTGCGTGGGAGGGAAGATGGAGGGGCCCATCCTGGGGCCCGTGGATCCGAAGTTCAGCCTGTCCCCCATCCCCACCCCGAACCTGAGGGAACCTTTGGCAGTCCTGGACGTCCAGGTTGTGGAAGGAGGGTTGAGAGTGCTCCCGACCTCAGAGAAACCTGTTCCTCTAGGGATGAGGTGTGTAATTCCTGTCCCAGAAACCCAGCTACACACAGACACAAGCCACATCGGTTACAGATTTAATGAAGTCCGAAAGGCATGCGCGATCGTGTTCAGAGATAGGGAGGCCCCGCCAGGCTCTCTCTCTGCACCTCAATAGAAACGATGTGGTGTCCAGGTACCATGGCCAGGCCCAGCACACGGGGTTCCCCGGCAGAGAAGGAATCTGGAAAGAAGAGTCAGAGCATCAGAGAGGCAGGCCAGCGTCGGCCCCGCCCCTTCTGTGCCACGACTTCTAGTCCCAGAAAATAAGGGGTGCAGCCAGGCACTTAAGGGGAAATGCTTTGCGTGAGGCTCCGCCGCATTCCCAGGCGGGTGTGCATTCCCCGGGCACTGACCCGACGGCTTGAGGAACTCCTGCGCCGAGCCCAGGATAACATTGCAGTCGCGGTCGGTGCAGAGGAAGCAACCGACCAGTGTCCGTCCATCTGTCATGCGAATGCGCATAGTCTTGTTGAGCAGCGCCTCCAGCTGCTGCCTAGCGCGCGTAGCCGGTGAGTCCTCGCGCTCCCCATCTGAGTCCTGAGCGGGGCGGGACAGGCGCTCAGACCGCGCCGCCTCGGCTGCTGCCCGCCCGCGGAACCACAGCTCCCGACAGCCCGCGGGGCGCTCACACGAAGCCCAGAGGCTGCCGGGAGCTGCAGTTCCCCCTCCGTCCCCCCATCTTGCTCCCCGACGGCCCCTCAATCCCAGAACCCGAGCTAACCCCTGCGCTGGAGCTGCTTTGACGCCGGCTGCAACAGCCATTCTCCTCTCGCAACAGCATGGCTGGTCCAGCTGCGGCCATTTGTTCCCGGGCCTCCTCCAGGCCCTTCAACTTCCTAAGAACCTCTGGTGTCCGGTGGTCTGAGATCTCGCGAGCGCTCCCGACCTGTTTTCTTTCGCGAGATCACCTCTCCTCCTCCTCCTCCTCCTCCTCCTCTTCTTCGTCTCCGGCAACTGCAGAAGTATCGCGAGTTTCTATTTCGGCGCTGCGGCTCACTGAGGCCTATTACGCTGGATGTACCAAGATATCGCGAGAAATTTTCAACTCTAGTTTCTTACACATCCTTTAAGGAACCTTGGAATTTAGCGAGAATACCTTTTTTCATAATCACACTCCTCCCCTCCCTTGTTTTTCTGCCTCGCGAGATAGTATGTCCTGAATACTCCCTGTAGCCTAGGCCACTGTGAATGAAAACGGAGTGTGTTCTCTTTCCCGCGGAACTCCTGAGGACAAAACTCAAATTACTTGAATGCCTGAATCGGACTACGTTTCCCGTGAGCACGCGCAGCCCACGCTCCTCCTCGCCCATATACAGCGTTTGATCTCAGTGGCCGGTGGCCGGAAAGGGACAATGGTTTCCATGTCAGCGGATAAACGCGCTCGCCTTAGCTCCCGGACCAGAGGGAGGATGCAGCAGAGAGTGCGTGCTGAAAAGCGAGGAAGCAACTAAAGGAGTCGGTGACCGATAGAGCAAGAGCCATGCCACGCCGGGGCCTAGTGGCCGGGCCAGACTTTGAGTATTTTCAGCGTCGCTATTTCACGCCGGCCGAGGTGGCCCAACATAACCAGCCGGAAGACCTCTGGGTGTCTTACCTGGGAAACGTGTACGACCTAACGCCGTTGGCACAGGAATACAAGGGTAAGCGCCACACTTTGGGCCAGCGTCGAGGGTGTGTTTGGGGGGTGCTTGGTTCTTGGATGGGTAGCATTGACGGCAGCTTCTCCTTCCCAGGAGACCTGCTGCTGAAACCCATCGTGGGAGTTGCGGGCCAGGACATCAGTCACTGGTTTGATCCAGACACCAGAGACGTGAGTTCTGCTGGAACCTGGGGTTGGGGGGAGGGGCACTGGAGAGCGGGATGAAGAGGAAAAGCAGAGGCTAAACAGAGCCCGAGATAGTGACTGCTCCGACCCTCCTCCCCTAAACCCTGCTTCAAAGATCCGCAAGCACATAGATCCGCTGACCGGTTGCCTGAGATACCGCACCCCGTGGGGCCGCTTTCTGCACGTGCCGCCTCAGCTGCCCCGTTCGGACTGGGCCAATGATTTCGGGAAGCCTTGGTGGCAGGGGTCGCGTTACGAGGTGGGGCGGCTGTCCGCCAAGACCCGGAATATCCGCATCATTAACACGCTCACGTCGCAAGAGCACACTCTGGAGGTGAGAACTGGTGCCCGGGGGCAGGTTAGAGGGAACCGAGAATCCCAGCAAATCTCCAAGCAGATCTGCAGGCCAGCAGCTCTCCACAACCGGTGGGAGCTGTATTTTCTTTCCTTTTAGGGGTAACTGAGGAAAGAAGACCACCTACATCCCCAGGGTTGGGAATTAAAGGTGTGGCTGGGCCACAGGGTACAAGAGACTTTTTCTTAAGCCCAGGGTGACAGTTTGTGCACCTTAGTGATGGTTGTCCTGGGAAGCTCTTACATGCTGTGTTTTTGTACAGCAATTGCAACTGGGCCCTCTTATTAGTCTACTCTGTTGTGGGGATGAGGTGAGGGGGCAGTGGCTTTAGGGCTACGGATGCGCAGGCCCAGCGGCCATGGCCCACGGGCCACTTTGTTTATTACAAGTGGCTGCCATAAAGGCAGGTAGGATTTGGGGGCCATTCGTTGCATGCTGGAGCTCCAACTTTATTTCTGGGACTGTGGAGCGCCTTAAGCTGCTCTCTGCCAAGGGAGGCACTCTGATCCCAGCTTTGGGTTCCTGGCCTTTGCTTGGGTGTGTGTGTGTGTTTGCTCGGTCAACCCACAATTCTGGGTGGGGTGCTTTCGTGTTCTTCAGGTGGGAGCCCTGGAATCAATGTGGGAAATCCTACACCGCTACCTCCTCTACAACGCACATGCTGCCAGCTATACATGGAAATATGAAGGGAAGAAGCTGAACATGGATTACACCCTGGAAGAGAACGGCATCCGGGATGAGGAGGGAGAATTTGACCGTCTCGGTATGGACGGTGCGCGCTGCACACCTGCTGTACTGCTGTACTTTAGTGATGACCTCACGGAGCTGTAGAAAGGGAGACGTGTGCTCACGTAGGCTCAAGACACATTCTGAGTTTAGCTGTTTCTGTGACCTGTAGGAAAAGAGGTGGGGATGGGCCAGGGAGGGCGGTACCTGGACCTAGACCTCCATTCTGCCTCCATTCTGCTCTGGGAGCTGGCCTGAGGTTCCCATGCCCTACTGAAGTGTAAAGGTCCTATTCCTCGGGTTAGTTACAATTTACTCTGAGAGAGTTAGGAAGAACGCTAGAAGTGAATTAATTTTTAGGAATGATACAAGAAAATAAAGTGTCTTAGATCATGGAGATGTAGATGAGGATAGTCAGACAGAGCTCAGGCAGAGCTTTTCGATAGTAAGAGAAAGAGAAGTCCTACACAGGGATGAGGGATGGAAGAACTTTTCTGGCAATGATGGAAATGGGATGGCTGTAGGAAGATGGGATTTACAAAGACAGGAATAGGAAGTGTCTATCACTCGCCATATAAAACTGGCTAATCTCTCTTCTGAATAGTATTCGGCAGCCACCAGGTAATTCAGGCTAGATATTATGCTATGTGCTTTATACACCTCATTTAATACGACTATCCATAAGACAGATACCATTACCACTACTTACAGATAAATCTTCTGAAGCTTAGTAAGATTTAATAGCGCAAAAGGCACACTACTTAGTAACCAGATTGCAAACCCAGGTCTTCCCAATTCCAAAGTCTATGTTCTTCTCAATGTCCAGGCTCACTGCAATGGGAACCTGTAGGCCTATTGTGTAGCCAGCCGTGGTGTTGTGCTTTTTTGTTTTGTTTTTTTAGTTATCACCTTTGGAAGGGACTTAGCACAGTTCTGCAGCAGCAGAGAGGACACAGGGAGGGAAGGCCAAGTGTCAGCTGAGTGATAGCTGTGGAGGCTGCTTCATGGTTAATCCCGTAGCAAAACTTTCCTCTGACTTTTCTGAGGCAAAGAGGTGGGTATATACTGATTCCAGGAAAATTAGAGTGGGAAAGGGCTTTTGGATTGGGACACTTTAGAAGGGGGAGCAAAAAGTAGGCATGTATATTCATGATGGGCCTGTGCCTCTGAGGGAAAGATGAGGAAGACAGGGTCGACTTTGCCAGATGGTGACTCTGCAAGAAGGGGCTTGACAGAGGTGATGTAAAGAGAGGAGCTAATTGGGGCTTCTCTGGTGGCGCAGTGGTTGGGAGTCCACCTGCCGATGCAGGGGACGCGGGTTCGTGCCCCGGTTCAGGAGGATCTTGCGTGCTGCGGAGCGGCTGGGCCCGTGGGCCATGGCCGCTGGGCCTGCGCGTCCGGAGCCTGTGCTCCGCGACAGGAGAGGCCACAGCGGTGAGAGGCCCGCGTACCGCAAAAAAAAAAAAAAAAAAAAAAAAAAAAAAAAAAGAGGAGAAA